CTTGGCTGTTCCAGGTTAATATAAATATTATGATTGTATTTATAAATTATAATTACTATTAAAATTTATTATAATTGCTATTTTTTATTTACAAGTGTACCTATAGAAAGAATTTTTCGGGTGAAACAGATTTAGTAGTACAAAAAAGATGCAGTTTAAAAGGTGAAATAATTTATAAATGTATGTGTCTTAAAGGATGGTTAAAATCAGGATTATTTTAAAAAGAAAGAATTATTTTTTTTAAAAATAATACTTAGTGTAATTATAGAGATTTATTATGTATTCTTTTTTATTTTATATTATTTATATATACTTTTATTATTTTTAAGAATTTTTTAAATTTTTTTGATTATTGTTTTGCAAATAATAAAATTCGATTTATTAAATAAACTAAAGAAATATAAATTTTGTAATCTGCATTAACTATAAGTCAATTTATATTATTAATGCTTCGGAAGCAGATTTCTTAAAAGAAAACGTTCTGAAAGCGAAATTCTTAAAGAAAAACACTTCAATAGCGTATTTTTTTAAGAAAAATGTTCCAAAAGCGAATTTCTTAAAGAACGACGTTCCAGGAGTGAAATTCTTAAAGAAAAATGCTCTAGAGCATAATTTTAAAAGAAAAATGCTTTAGGAGCGTAATTCTTAAAGAACAATGCTCTGGAAGCGAATTTCTTAAAAAACAACGCTCTGTAAGCAAAATTCTTAAGAAAGCGCTCCAGAAGAGAATTTTTAAAGAACGATACTCTGGGAGCGTAATTTTTAAAGAAAAATGCTTCCAGAGCGAAATTCTTAAAAAACAACGCTCTAGAAGTGAATTTCTTAAAGAACGATGTTCTGGGAGTGTAAATCTTAAAGAAAAACGCTCCTGGAACAAAATTCTTAAAGAACAATGCTCTGGAAGCAAATTTCTTAAAGAATGATGCTCCAAGAGTTAATTTTTAAAGAAAAACATTCTGGAAGTATTTTCGCTTCAAGAGAATCGTTTTGGAGACGTTTCTCTTGAAGGAAACTATTTCGAAGATGATTCTCTTGAAGGAAATCACTTTTCTGAACTTTTCAATTACTCCAAAATTTTTTCAGATTTTTAATAATAATGTAAGCCATATGAGCCAACTTGTTTGACTCACGAGCCGGCTCAGCTTGACACATTTTGGACTCGAGTCGAGCCGGCTTGTAAGCTAAAATAATTCGGCTCAGCTCGAGCCAATAGTGAGCTGACTCATGCGGAGCTTTAATTACAAGAGTAATGAATAATGTTAAACATTAAAGGTATGCTTTGTATTATAGTTCAAGTTTAAGTCAAGCTTTTGGTTTAGGACTTGATTTGGTTATTCTTGGTAACAATATGAATGTATACGGTAATGATGTTTATCCTGAATTGAATAGAATTATAGATAGTGATACAAAGGTCATCATGGATTATGAAGTATTTCAGATGATATATAAATAACATATTGTCTGACAATATGACGTATGTTATGAAACACCTTTTTTTAATATCATAAACTTGGATCATAATTTTTTTTGCTGGTTACATGAAAATAATTCATTTTCTTCTTTTAAATTATATTTTTCAACCTTTTCATATTTATTTTTTTTATTGAAGTGCTGGTTTCTTTAAACTTATTTTAATCCAAAAATTACAAATCTATCGTTATGCTGTGCTGGAAAAAAAAAGCTTTCTTTAAAAATCGATTTTTACAATGCAATATAATATGTATATTAACCAACTAAAACAGGTAAAATAATTAATATTATGGCTATTCAGGAAAGAAGAAAAATATTCTAAAATTGCTTTGATTCAATTATATTCATACTCGCAAATCCATCTGCAAAACATTAGTTGTTTAAAATCACTTGTTCTTGAAAACTATCGTTTTTATATAATAAAATTTCAATACTGGATTATTCCTTAATATGATTAAATTTGCCTATTAATAACTTTGATAACATCCTGCTAGACATATAATAATCATTATTATGCACTATTACATTTATATAATAAGGTCATTATAACATTCAAAATAAAAATATTAGATGGCTACAATCTGAAGCGACTAAAAAATAAAGAAATAATAAAAAAAAATAAAAATTATCAAAAGAAATCATCTAAATACCTTTTATAAATCAAGACCGAAAGAGTTTAAAAAATAAGGCATTCTAAAGAAATCTGAAAAAATTTTTACAATTCTATGCAAAAAAAAAAAAATATTTGCAACGCATATCAAAAATATTATCTATACATGTATCTGTTTATTTATTATTTCTATTATATTAGTTTTTATTATGTCTGCTTGAAAAGATTTTATTTAAAATATCAATATTTATTTTTTAATTATAAATTAAACATTGCTTATAAAACTTACTGTGATTTGATAATACGAGCTAATAGTATTAATGAAAAATGAAGTTAAAAGAATTAAAAATCAAAGTTGGAATTACATTATCAAATATAATTATTTATAAAAAAAGAAATCATGTAAAATCAAATTTTATTAAAAATAATTAGACAATACCTCTTACCCAGGGTTCATGGATTATTACCACAAGATTTGCCCAAACGGTAAATTAGCTGGATGATGATCAGACTATATCGACAAATATCTTAGAAATCGAACCTAATTTCAGATCAATGATATACTTGATTAGACAGTGATGTGATATGCAATGCAGTCTATTATCACTATTAATCTAATCTACTAATTTCTGGCAATCACTTCCTTAATTTATATACAATCTTATGATCATATATGGAAATAAGAGCCTCTGCCATGTGAGATATAAGACTGTATCTATTACAGACCAATCAGCAAAAGTCAAGTTTCTATCGATCTCTGGCTTCATTTGCATCTACTTGTTCTTACGCTATGTAGTATTTAGGCATAATAAATGTTGATCAATAGATTGATCAACCAGAATCTAATGCATATTAGTATATACGCCTACTTGTTCAATTACAAAGAAATTCCTTATGGAAAATCATATAGTTTTATATATCACACAATACTTGAATTATGGCCTATTACTATATAATAAAATTTTAGCTTAATAAGGGCTCGCAGCTTAACCACTGAGCAAGATTATTTCAAAATCCAACAATTGATAAAAGTCTTATAAAAATATATGAATCAGTGATTTTAGAAAATGGTGCTATAATACGTGCTACTAGCAAATATCACAATAGAGCATGGTTTAGTGAAGTAGCAATTTCAATAGATTCTGAAGAATCAAATGATTATACATCAATCAGGGAATTTGTTATATACAGGTTAGTTAATTTAATAATTTCAATTATTTATTAATATCCAGTAGTTATTTATTATAACAAGTTATTATCATTCATTCTTTATTGTTATAGCTATATTATTGGCAGAAATACGAATAGAAAAAAACTACCCTCTATTAAATCTTGTGTTAATTCAGTGGTTTAATTTCAAATCTCAAAACTACCTATATAAATACAGATGTTCTCATATAAAGTTAACAGAATTATATAATTTTG